GGAAAGTTAATTAACAAACGGAGACGTAACAACAGCATAACATATGAACTTCAAAAGCAAGAAATAAAAATATTTGTTACACTTAATTTTGGTTTTATTTACACTTGAAACAGAACACTTTCTGGGTCCCTGCGCAAGTACATGTAATATATATATCCGTAGTAAGAAGTGGCCAAAGCTTGTATAGACCATTCAGCCAAATTATTATTTTAACATATCTTATGGCAGATAACTAACTGAACCTGAGAAAAACGTTTCTCACTTCCTACAAATCAGAGAAAAAGTGATAAATATTTATATAAAACCATTTTAGAAATTTAGAAAAAACTAAAATACAAATGTGCAAGTGATTATATACATTCACTTTTGAAACAATTATAAAAATGTAAGAATTATTACACAAAAATACAAAATATTATTAAAAAATACATTACATAAACGTATACACGTAACATTCACAACACGAGTGGTTGATTTTTTTATGTTCTAATATAGATTTCCGTTATTCGTAATGTAAATACTTTCAATTTTAAATATAGCAACAAACCTTGACTTTGTATTCTGTAAATTTACGCAAAACATTATAAAGTATTAGAATTTCATACTACGTCACACAAAAGTTTAGTCTAGCTTAGATATATTCTTGGTCAGTAATTACTTACGCATATATGCAGGACTAGTGGCGTATGGTGAAAAAGTCTCAAACGGTGCTGACGTAAGGAATTGCTCGATGTTTGAAATTCCTTTTAAGTTTAGTCTTTCGTCTGCTCAAGCTCAGTTTGATTTCATAGCTACTTTTGTTTAAGGTTCCGGAAAGAAGCAAACATGTATTGGGAGCGTGACAGCACACAAGTCTCTTGGCTATTAGTTAGTACTGAAATAAAGAAAGACAAAATGTACAGGATAGGATAAAGAAAAACTGACAAAGAAATTAAAGGATACTGGCCTTAAATGTATTTGATGAGAAGTAGCAGTCTGGGAGACTTCCGGTTAAGATAAGACGTAGGTCAATAGACAAGTAAGTCTTGATTATTACAATGTACCAAACATCTCTATCCGAACGTCGTCGAAGTAAAGCAAACTCACGCTTACACGAATTGGATAAAAATGGAGTTTAACAATATGTTAAAGAGAATAAATATTTGTTTTCCAATGATAATTTTAATTAGTTTAAAATGATTGATTTTATCAAAATAATATTTATTATAAATAAGAATAATCCTGCTTGATCAATATTTATATAAACAGTAGACATTAAAAGTTTCACGAATCAAGGTGTTGTTTATAATGTAATAAATATATTCAATGATATAAAATGAACAATAGAATTGAAGCAACAAAGTCTTGTTTTACAATATTCTTCCTTCTCCTTTGTATTGATTTTATTTTTCAAACTGTCTGCTGACTTGTAGGCTTTATTTCCAAACTTCAGTATTAAAATGTTCAGCCCTTTCAGTTTCTGTAGTTTACTCTCTACTTCATACATATGCAAGTAACGATCACATGTTATATATAAAAAGAAAAGATCAGCGAAGCAGCTTTCCTTTTTGATTACACACTAGGATCCTCGTGAAAACGTTTGGCATTTACTTTTGTTTTTAATCGAATCAAGTTATATGTTCATGTAACTAGCATATTTGTTAATTCTCTACAAAATGAGTTCTTATGTTGACAGCCAGGAGCGTCTATACTCATTATATATTATAATTTAGTGTTCTTTTGCTGAATGGGCATTTCCCTAAGACCTTCATAATAAGCTGAAGTTAAATTAAGTTAAAAATTAGGAAAACAACAGTTTGGAGTCATGTTTGCTCCTTTCACTGTTTACTATTGTCTTTTTTTTAATTCTATCGAGGCATTTAAAACTAGAACTTAATTTTGACAAGAAAATCAAGACGACGGTAAAAATAACCATTTTATTTCGGTCGTTTCGGATTATATATAATCCATCTTCAACAGTTTTCTGTGAAAAACAATTACGTTGTAAGATTATACGGAGAGATAAAAACAAAAACAAACAAAATAATAATAATAACAACAACAAACTACGAAGGAAGTAGTCAGGGGTGAATAAAGAGAATTGAACAATTAAAACCGTTTTAACTGATAGGATCCGGAAGGGTGACTACGAATAGATGTCTCTCTATATATGTAAACTTGATTAGCAATGTTTCTTTGATTAATAATTTTGTGTCAGATTTATCCGAATTGCACTTGACTCGCAATCTGAGGGTCGCGGGTTCGAATCCCCGTAGCTTTGCGCAAAATTCCAAGCAAACAATTGTCCGAATTTGAAATTTTGAACCTCTTCACGGTGATATGGTAGACAATGCTCTCTGTAATTACGAACTGCGGATGTGCATGGGATTCGGTTTTTGGAGACACTTAAGAGTTTATGGACGTGAACAACAAAATGTCGTTTAGTCTTGCCTATGGGTGGAATTTAGGTACACATTGTTTCATTTTGTGGATCATTTGAAGGAAAGCCAAAATTGACATAATGCCAGAGATCATTAGCTCTTTCATAATGTCAATAAAATATACCTTTTGTACACCGTATTATAGTAAATGGGTTCAATAAATAATGTTATGTTTCTGGTTTAGCTTCAAATATTTCAATAAAAATGGAAACTGTCGATTGAAAGGACATAAGATGTCTTTTATAGGTTATAAAATATATCTGTGTTGTTCAGTTTTATCAGTTGACGTCAAAGAAAGACTGTGTAAAATCACTGTTTTCTTTAATTTACAAATGATTAGGCATGCCTTTGTGAAATTTTAAATAAAGATAAGTGAAAAAAGAGGTTGAATAATAGTTATAATTTGTATTTATGCATTTTTTGCTTACAAAATCCACTGATCCACATTTGTAATTAATAGCTATTTCAGCTTTAAATTTGAGATTTGTTATACAATGACTTTCAAAAGTTCTATCAAAATCATAAAAAATTTGACGTCAATAGTGTTCTTTTTGAAGGTTTGCTGTATCCATATGGTTTAAATGTGGCAAAACGTAAGCCGAAGAATTTTATTGCAGTAAAAGTAAACAGAGGGCACTTTTTAGTAAAACTCCGATTTCTTTTAACGCAATAAACGAATCGTATGATGATTAATCATGAAATAACACTTTTACTGCAAACTAACAATGCTTGAACCTAAGTAAATAAACTTTCGTACACATAAATGTATCAAAAGGAAATGTTCATCATCAATATTCAGATGCTCGCTACAGAGAAGTGTAGAAAAAATGCAATTGTTGTTTTAACAACCAAATTGGTTGGTGCATGAATAAAGTAAAAAAAGGCAGAAATTGTTTTACAGTGTTAGATTACGGTTAAAGAGGATATCGAAGATTAACAATTTATTATATTTTTCTATAATTTAAGGATAACAGAGCTCATCATTATGTAAAAATGAGCTTTGCAAACTAATAATGGCAGTCTATGAATGCCAAGAATATATCTCAGGAAGCATTCGTTTTGTTGTTACAATAGAGAGAGAATTTATAAGTTAGGCTTAAATGGTTAAAATTTTAAAATTTTATGGCACTGAAAAAATGAGAAAGTAAGATGAATTTAATAAAATATATTCAATTAACTATCAAATTAGACTTGATCTTACTTTAAATTGAATAAAACGTTTAAGGTAGATTTTTTTTAATTGTACTTATATATTCAAATACATTTTATAACGTATTTGATTTTAGTAACGAAATTTTATAGCTGGTTAACAACAAAGTCAATTAAATCAAAATCTAGTTATACTCATTATACGTAATGAAAACCCAACCCAGCGTTTTCTTCACTGATGAACAGCAGAAACTGAATAAAACAGTTGAAACATTTTTTACGTTCTAGGCAGAATAGTTGGCATATGGTAACTTATTTTATTATCCTTTTAAAGCTAGTTGCTTTTCGAAACATAAGAAAAATGGGTAAAATGGGTGTAAGGGAAAATTCTTATGTGATGAACGTTTTGTTCAAACGACCTTAATCAGGACCAGTGAAAGTCGTTTGGGCGAAACGTTTAGTAGATTACTATTTTTCCCTTATAGCAGTTTTGAACTATTTCTTAGTATTTTCACGCTTAGTCACGCTGTAACTGCATTTATTGGTTATTCATGTTAATTTTTACTTACTCCACAACAAACCTATAACTCATACACACGAAAGCTCAGTAGGATTAATTTATGTTCATATAAGAAGGGTTATGAAGTTTAGTTTGTATTTTAGTACTTATTTTTTAGGAAGAAAGACAAAAACAAAATAACTACAAAAAGATAAGATTATGTCAAAATAGATTTTTTGGAAGCATGTCAATACAAAACCAAGATCACTGATCCAATCACCCACATAAACACACATTTATAAAGACAGAATATAAACGAATGTGCTAGAAAAGAAAGATTGAAAAATAAGCTTTGCTCTTCCAAGCTCTAATCACAAAAGTCACTCATATGTTCGAAACAGTGTCAACTACCAATTATTCTTCCTGACCCCCAGAGATGCCCATTCAATTGATTGTGAAGAAATCCTGTAGACACTAAAACGGTGAATAAGATGATCGAATAGCCCGAGACGAAAGCCTCATCAGATGTAATTGCCTTTAGAATACGTGATGATTATCTGTAGAAACAGTGAGTGATTACTGAGGGCACATGAAAGCCGGAAATAGAGCCTATGTACCAACAGTACTTGTTTAGGTGCTATTGTTCTGATCTCTTTTACTCAGAAAGTTATATCGTTGTCATCTACGATGTTTTAAATGAGTGACCAAAAGTCAATATCGAGTTAGTATTCAACTGGTAACTTATTAAGATAAATAAGAAAAACTCATTATATGAAACTTGGCATTTCTACGTTTTTACCATAATGCCAAATCCATAGTTTTGAGTGTTTGGGCTAGTGTTTAACTGTAAATATATCTTCATACAATACTTAGCGACATATCAATACAAACAATACAATGAGGCAGAACGATATAGTACTTTGAATATAATATAAGAAGGAAATTTGGATTCTTTAAAAAAAAATGTTCATATGTATGGCTTGTTATTTGTCCTATAATGCATAAAATACCTTTCATCTGGAGATACCTTTGGGAACATAAAGATTACTGTGAATGGCTTCTTTATTATTGTGACTGTCTTAGTCTTACGTTTGGTTACCATTTGTTTTCTAAATAAATTTTATTTACTTATAAACACTTATTTTGCCCATAAGCACTTTATTGGGATTTGATTATTTTTTTATTGAAAGGCAAGCTTAGGGTACGTTTGATGTAGCAGGTCCAAGGAAATAAATAACAGTTGTAACATATCATCAGATACCAACAACTATTTTACATTTGGGGACTATCTAATTTTGTTATCTTTATCATTCTGAGAAGAAGCAATTGTAACAAATTCTAAAGATAATATTCAATATGAGTGTGTGTGTGTGTACACAAAATCAATACTAAAACAGTCAAGCAAAATATAATAAAAAAATGAAGGACTGCGTTTAAAACAGCAAACCCAAACATGTGATAAATGACAGTTAAATGAATAAAACAAGCCCAAACAACAACAAAATATTAGATTAACGACGCTGCATAAATTAAAAGGATTCCCAGGGTAGAGGCTATAATGTGGAATATATAATTTGTCATGGGTTTACGAGGTGACTGCGGAAGTAGGACTCACATTGCGGTAGGGATACACCGTTTATGAGTCTTAACCTCCGTTAGCCAGTCTCCCATAAAGAAATTCATAAAAAAATCTCATAAAATCATCAAAAATTGATTTTAGGAGAGCGAGATGTGGGTGCTCAATTCACAAAGTTCCACATCTATATCACCCTTCACTGCCTGCAGACAGTTGCAAGAAGGTGACTG